GTAGTAGTGTAGTACGTAGTACTATATATATATTATATATATATATATACTATATATATATATATATATATATATATATACCCCCTGAATTTTGAAATTTGATATTCTTGTTGAAATTTGATATTCTTGCATTGTGCTTTGAGATTTGAAAATTTTCAGGGAATGGTGCCCCTTATATGTTTATAGATTGTGGTCAAAATTCTGATACTCAAAGTCCTCTTTCAGTTACAGTCTTTCTTTTTCTTTTTTGATGAGGTTGTATAGCACTAAATTCATGGACAACATTTAATCCCAATTGATTTTTTTTTATGATATTTTCTTTTTGCTGAGTACGATAGGGTTTTTGAGTAGGTATCCTGCCATTGTATTAATGTGTGAAAAATGTAGAAGAGATGATAATTACGATGAAGACATGGAAGAGGCTCTTGCGAGCCCTCAATTTACCTAAACTCCTTACTACTTACACTCAATTCATCTCCTAAAGATGTTACTTTGCTTTCATGCATTGGAGGTCTTCCTAGTGGTTTCCTTTTGCAGAATTTGAATGGATTGATTGCTGTCCTCCTTTTCCCTCAAATAATATTTTAATGCCATCTATTTGACAATTAATAATGTCTTTGATGTTATTTATTGCATGTTTTCTCCGAAAGATTGGAATTTTGGGTACTCCCCAAATTACGAAGAAGTAAATCTTGGATAGTCAAAGGCCAAATTCTAATTTTTTTTTTCCGTAATCATTCTGATGATCTGCTACTTATCTGAACTTTTGATGGTTTCTTGTGTTTGAGCAGTACAAAGAAGTATTGGGTAAAGGGGCCTTCAAGACTGTGTATCCTTGTTAAAATTTACAGTCGAACAAAATTTCTATTGTTTCTTTTTCTTTTCTTATTATTCCTAAGGAATTGGATACAGATTTTCATTTTGCGCTTCCCTTGGGTTATTATATACAACGATCTAGGAAATTCATTTTGTAATGGTTTGTCATGCTTAGAACATTGGAGAATACATGTTATTGGTCCCTTAACCCTTTATGTATAGCTACAAGGCATTTGATGGAATTGATGGGATTGAAGTGGCTTGGAATCAAGTGAGAATCGATGACGTGCTGCAGTCACCTGATGATCTGGAGAGGTTATATTCTGAGGTGCATATTTTGAAATCACTGAAGCACGAAAATATAATGAAGTTCTATAACTCTTGGGTTGATGATGAAAAGAGGACTGTGAATATGATTACGGAGCTTTTCACTTCGGGGAGTCTAAGGCTGTAAGATCTTGTCGCCCATTGATTTTTCAATTGTTAATTATTCTCATTTACAATACAGAAAAATTCAGCAAGGTTGGCATAACCTACAAAAGACTTATGACCTTGAAAATTTCTCATGACATCAGGTATCGCAAGAAGCACAAAAATGTGGACTTGAAGGCAGTTAAGAACTGGACAAGACAGATTCTTAGAGGGCTTCATTATTTACACAGTCATGACCCACCCATTATTCATAGAGATCTAAAATGTGATAATATATTCATCAATGGGAACCATGGTGAAGTTAAGATTGGTGATCTTGGGTTGGCAGCAGTTATGCAGCAGCCCCATGCTCGCAGCGTTATTGGTGATTATTTGGAATTTAAACATAATTGCATAATCTTGGTGGTCGTATAATATGAATCTTTGTGTTCATGAAGTTGATCTTTTGTAGGGACACCCGAATTCATGGCACCGGAGCTTTATGAGGAGAATTACAATGAACTTGCTGACATTTATTCTTTTGGCATGTGTATGCTAGAGATGGTCACCTTTGAATGCCCTTACAGCGAATGTAAAAACACAGCACAGATTTACAAAAAAGTCACCTCTGTAAGTTTGTCAAACTATGGGTGCTTCATGTTTGGAAAGCATTCTTATGTTCTTTTCAATACATTTGCCTGAAAATTATTCTCACTAAATTCCTATTAATCTTTAAATTGCGGTTGATTCTACAGGGGGTAAAGCCTGCTTCCCTTGCTAAAGTAAATGACCCTCAAGTGAAGGCGTTTATTGAGAAATGTCTGGTTCCTGCTTCCGAGAGGTTACCTGCTAAGGAGCTCTTGAAGGACCCTTTTCTACAATGCAACAATATAAAGGAGCCTTTGCACGATCCTTTACAGATGCCTGATCATGGGCCTAAAATAGTTAATTCAGGGGATCATTCTATTGCTTTAGAAGGAGATGCTGCCTTACTGGCAAAATCAGGACCCCTTTCCATGGACATTGATTCTGAGTTCAAACAGCTTCCCATCCAGCCTATGACACAAAACAGCAACGGTACCCAACACTTACCTGGCTTGGAGTTTCAGAGGTCTAACAAAAACAATGAATTCAAGCTTAAGGGAGAGAAAACTGGCGACAATTCTGTCTCACTAGTATTGCGCATTGCTGATCCTCATGGTAAGTCAGATTCAATGTCAGGGTCGTTTCCAAAACATCGTTTTTGGGGTAAATAATGTTTCAAGGGCTAAGTCAGATTCAATGTCAGAGTTGTTTCCAAAACATCGTTTTTGGGGATAATGTTTCAAGGGCAATGTTTCGGAAACAGGTGTATGCATTGGGAATTGATCGTGGGTCGTCATCTAAGCATTTTATTAGAACTTGGAGACAGCTTGGGATCAATTCCCATTACATACACTTGTTTTCAACATTAGTCTTCAAAACAATCTGAAATTTATCTGTTAAATTTAAAAATATATGTATTTAAAGATAGGTAGTGTTTGCATGTACATATCAAAAGGGAAAGTTTGAATTTGTGTTTGTTAAATGCAGGTCGTGTAAAAAATATCCATTTTATTTTTTACCTCGACAGTGATACTGCACTCTCGGTGGCTGGCGAGATGGTTGAACAGCTGGACCTCTCAGATCATGATGTGATGTTCATTGCGGAATTTATCGATTTCCTCATATTGAAGCTTATACCTGACTGGAAACCATCTGTGAACAGCTCTTCCTTCATCTCTAGTGAAACCACAGCCCCAGCTGGAGAACCCCATATGGTTCAAAATGAGAGGTTTGCAGTTGGGTATTCGTGGGGTACACAAGTAGTCGAGGAGGAAGTTCTCTCTCATTTAAACATTGGGAATTCATCCCTTAAATTGATCTCAGCCGAAGGGTGTAACCGACCAGCACATGGAGGTAATTTATATGGTACTCTGGATGATATGATGCCTCATGTTGACATTGATTCCCCTTCTAGTGTGGCCACAGGGGAAGACAAGGTTTCTCAAGTGTCCTTTGGATCTGATGTTTTGACTGAGTACGTCCCTGTGGTGGATTTACTTGGCGACCATGACAAAATAGTAGAACGTGTTAGCGATAACGAAATGCGAAAAGGGCTCGCTAATATCACATTTGAGTATGAATCAGGATTTCATTTGGGAAGCGCTTATGACAAGGAAGAGAGCTTTGTTGATAATTATGGATTGATAGAAGGTGTTGATAATGACGAAAACTCAAACCCTAATGCAGTCGGTTATTCTTCGAATATGTCCATGTGGAACTCGACTGATGCATCAAATGCTCCGAGATTTCCAAGCGATGCTTCATCTGTGTCTTCGGTACAAGAGGATGAGGATGAGGAGTTAAGGTCAGAGCTGGAGTTGATTGACTCGCAATATAGGAATTGGTTCGAAGAGCTCTCGAGAAAGCATGATAAAGCTATAGTGGGCGCAAAAAAGAGGTGGATAATGCGAAAGAAGCTGACTGTTGCTTAGTCATTCTACCTGATATAATTTTTTTTGCGTGCTTGTGTCTTCTCTTTTATTTTCTTCTGGTTCTTTCCTTCTCATGGAGATATTTTTGATGTGTTAAAACTTGAGAATTACAAAGTTTTACACATACTATACATGACGTTTGGATCCTTGCTTTAGCATGTATTTAAAATGCCTATGAAAGCAAGGGGCACATCCCTAAGGAATAAAAGAACTGATTTCAGAGCTCTCAAAAGCAAAAGATGCGAATTCCTTTTTATAGTTTTTCTACAAAGCCTGACAGCTTTAGCAAGCGTGATTTTTCTGTGGGATTGGATATTAGAAGACCTTTTAGTGACAAATCGCCCGCCCTTAACCGTTAGATTGTGTATTTTTTTTCCATAAAAATTCTAATTTTTTGTTCTTTTTTTTCTTTTTCTTTTTGCATTCAATGGAATAGCTCGAGTCACTTGATCTTTCATCTGGCTCTTAGCCAGATAGAGGTGATTGTGACTTTGTACCAAAACAATATAAGGTTTTATGGTATGCTTAGCCATTTATCTTTTTTTGCCATATTTTTTCCTCTCGTCATGTTGTTTTCTTCCAATATACCATGTCCTCTCTTCATGTTGTTTTCTTCCAATATAGATGCTTGTGATGTGCTCTCTCTCTCAAAAAAAAACACGATACCTTGCCTACCAAAACAAATGACAAAATCATAAAAAATAAAACAAAAGACAACGCAGAGAAATGAAAGTGAACAATGTGAGGTACCTACCACCTTCTATAATATGAGGGACCAACAAATATGTGTGGATGAAAAATCAAGGCAACATTATAAGCCAAAGTCATGATGTAATCTCATTTCTTGAAGTTCAGTTTGGTATTTGAGTCGGGAATATGTATATCTAATGAGAGCCCGAATCCGAACGAGCACGCATGAAGCATGGGAGCTTATATCAATAGCCGGCCGAAAGCGATAGCTCAGGGGCTAGTGAACCGAAAAGCTCAGCTCTACTGCTTTGTATGGCCTTCCGGAGCAAAACACTAACTTCATTAAAGCTCTTCGTGCTTGCAAGGGCCACCTGAGTAGCGACAGGCCTGTGAACAGGAGACTCTGATAGGAGACCAAAGGCGTGTTCGCCTTTGGTACTATATTAATTTTCTTTTTATATGAACTAATTAGTCGGATTTTCCGACTGAAAGTTTTTCAAGTAATTTTTCATTTGGCATGTGATCTATTTCAGATAACCAAATAAAATGTTGAATCTTGTGGAGAGCTCTAGATTTTTGTTTTCCTTATACGAGAGATGCTGGGAGTTCGAGTCACACAAATCCTCCCAAGTGTTTTGCCCGGTGGCTACATTATTGACTCTTCGACAATTGATTCTTTCACTTCAAAATATTATTAAGGGAAACTTAGGAGAATATAACAATGTAGCCTAAGGAATCTCATGAGCTACCTTTTTTTTGTTTTTGCTAAAAATTTGGACTATTTTTCGATTTGAGCGTCGTATTCTCTTGGTTTTCTACCATGTTAATATAGTTTATTTTATTGGCTCACCCAATCACAGTGAACCCAGCTAGTGCATACTTAGTTTTTTTCGCAGCTAGTGCGTGAAGTAGAGAAAAACGAGAGCAAATATAAATGATATCCGTTAGAAAGAGGAGCGGTGATCATAAAAAGTGACGGGCTTTGTTCATTTATGGGATTGATTATCTAGAGAGAGAAATTAAGAGAACTTTTTTTTGGCTAAACAAGAGAGTGAATTGTTCATTACGATCCTCTGCAAAGGAGAGAGAGTAAAAGAAACATGTTCAGTGATTGGTAAGTAGCGGTGGAAAGAGACCCAGACTCAAACTGGACCCGAGGGGTGGATCCGATTCAGGGCCAGCTATGTGTTCAAAAATTAGACCCGGCAGGTTGGGTCAGGTTCGGATCCGGTAATATTTTTTGGATTTCAATATATAAAATATATTTAAATACATATATATATTTTAATTTTGAATCGGGTCCAGTTCCGGGTCTGGTTTCCGCATTATATTTTCGAGTCCAAGTCTAGGTCAAGTGAATTCGGGTTTATTCAGGTCCGAATCTGGGCCCAGACCGGATCCGTTTGCACCCCTATATAAGAAGGCTTTCAATTTCTCATAAATGGGAGAGCGTCGCATTGAAAGAAACGTAACATGGACATAATTTTTTTTTTGTTTTTCCTGCAAGGCCTCATCCCTTAACCTCTCGATGTCTCTTCTTGGGTAGAGAGAAGCCCTAAACCTCTCGTATATCTACTTGGGTAGAGAGAGAAGGAGAGAGAGAGGCTCTTAAATTATCTCTCCTACATTAGATCACATTTAATCTCATTTCTACGTTTATCTCCTTTTTATTTTTATGTGAATTTATTTTTTCTCTCAACCTTCTAAAATCTAATCTCATTTCTTCCATTTGATCTCCTTTTTATTTTTTTGTGTTTTTTGATGACCAATATCATAGTAAATTTATTTTTTCTATTAATCTTCTAAGATCTTAAATATCTGACTTACCACGCTCCTGCATGCTCTTTCTCCATGTCATCACTAACAGCTATTCCTTGTTCAATAAAGTCATAAATTGATCTTTTTTTTACATGATATTCTTTCACTCGTATGGCAATTTCTAGTACGTACTCATTCAAAAATAACCTTTAATTGGTACTTAGGACCATCATCTTCATCGTTAAAACCTTTTTCCAACTAATTGAGATCGATTATATGAATCCTAATCTGCCGTTCTGCTCTATTAAAGGATTATAAATCTTCATATCTTTTTTCACTATCTTCAACCATGTCCTTTTGAACCTACCCCTTGTCATTTTTGAAACTTTCACTTGAACTAACTCGTAACTCCTAACAAAAGCTATATTGGGTCTACATCACATATGGCCAACCTACTTAAGTCAACCATTTCATCCTATCATCTATTGATGCCGCGTCTGAATTTTCCAGACTGTATTCATTTTGAATTTTGTCATTACAATTATATCTTTTTTGTCAGCATAAATCTTAAATGGTTGTGAACTCCAGATGATGTTTAGAATGGATACTCACCCCTTAAATCACTAACAGAAATGAACAAAACCAACTTTAGGAATGCCCTTCAAGTTTTTCTGCAAGTATCAACAATAATATAATTCATATCCTTTGCTATGATTTAAAGAGAACAATGCCCAAAATCACTGCAATTTTCCATAAGGAACTCAAAATTTTCATGGGGTAACACAAATAGGAGGATTCCAACCACAAAGAAACAGCGAATAAGCAAAATCAGATGGGACATGCATGGAGGTAGATTACTTCTTTAGACTTAATGTTGATACAAAATTGTGGGACTTCAGTCAAGAATTTTGAAATAGAGTTACTCGAGCTTTTCATGGAGAAATTTCAGATGCCGGATCTCATTTCTATTTCTACTCTCTACGTTGATTATAATTACAATAATTATAAAAGTGGTTTTCTTTGTTAGGGATTCTCTTCCTAGTAGAGAACAAGATATAAACTGAAGGGTAGTATACGATGACATCAGTTGCTTTTCGGATGAAGAAGAAACACCACCACCAGCCTTCGTGAAAACTGATGGCTGGGTATCTAATTCTTCCAATTAAAATCCATCAAAATTTGTTTTCGATGAACTTTGAGTAGACAAACAACAAACCCCAGCTGTCTCATTTCACATGTGATGGCTGGGGGTGTTGTTAGCTTTCCATACAAAAACCGCATCGATTGAACACATTTCCATCTTCTGATGCCCGAAAAATACACTAGAGAAATCTTCCAACAACCCTAACCATGACAAAAATAAAAAGAAACCTTAGAATACCTGAACAGATATACGTACTTATGCAGGCTAACAAACAGTTTTTCAAGAACAGAAGAAAGACAATGTGTTAGGTGAAACAAATCCTGAGTATCTGTGAGCAGCAATATTGGATGCGAGGAGAAGTATGATATACATCAGTAGCATATGGGATATGGGATAGATGTCCAACATCCGGTCCCATTAATGGATGGTGCATATCGACAAGAGCCAGGCGAGTTTCTATCAAGGGCCAGTAATGTCACCTTCCAATCATTGGGAATGGACTTTGGGGCCCCACTGTGTACCATCTGCCATGCGCCATAGGTTTATGGGATATTCACACTCCGCATACTTGGAATTTTTAGAAGGAACCCATAAACTAAAAGGTGCAGTTAGCATACGGATGTATCCGTAGCTTTAGAGGTAAGGTGAACCCTCAAATGTTATCATGGTATATAATTTTGATGTCAAATGTTCTTAGGATCATCTCAAAATCTATTTCTATATCTAATTATAAAATTTTAAATTTAAAAAATGGTTAAAATCAAGTAGATCTATAAACATATGAAAATCTTGAAAATGGATGCTGTAGATAATATGTTGTAAAATGCACTATTTCTGAGACTTCAAATCTTTTTATTTTTCATGGACATACATCTCGATGTCGAGATGATCAATCAAAGGCTTTTTCAACATTAAAACTATCTTTTCCGATGGACTTTTGAGGAGCATCTGTAGCTGTAGAGGTAAGGTTGCATCCTTCTATAAACTTTTTCCTAAACTATAATATTAAATGACATTGAAGTAAACAGAAATGGAATGGTATCAGAGTGAAAAAACGATAGAAGAGGCGCATAAAAGGGTAGACCAAAGGACATCACATGGCTCCACTCAAGGGATTTGGGACTGTACAATGTACATATATAGGGGCTGAATTAATTTTGTGACGATTCTTCCGAAAACAAAACATATATAAACATATACATCTTTTGGCAAATATATCCAAACACCCCCAGAAAAGCATGTGAACGTATGTAAGATTAGAGCCATATTATCACAAACAAAATTGAATCCCCTTCAAAGCCTAAATCTTTTATGTACACATGAGCTAGCACATGCACATAACAAGCATAACATGAACACAGTTGCAATTGAGCTCTACGGCCTGATGGCTGACATGCTTTTTTGGTTATTCTTTACGCATTCTATGACAAACATAAGGATAAACACTGTATGATTGTCATGCTCATGCCCAAAAGACATGTAGTGGAGCGCCTTAGGATGTTTAGGCCAACTGGAATAGTAGAAAGTTAATGCTACAGTGGCTCTGAAGATTTTGACTCTTAAGATGGGAGATGGTTTGAGTTATCTAATGTCCACAATTTTCTTTTTATCCTCATCAAATTTACACCTCTTAAG